TTTAGAAAATGATATTGAAATTTGTACTCAAAAGCAATGCTATGAATTCAGTATGGCAGCAATAGGACTGATCTGACATGTTTAAGCCACTGTGGGTCAATGACATAAGGTGATTCACCCACCTTTGCATATTGCATTTGTTTTTAACATAATAATTTTAGAAATGGTGCAGCTGTTCAGTGGTAAGTCTGGATACTAGAATGGGGAATAAAGGACATGTGATCTCTAGTCTCACTTTAGGGGACCTGTGTGACCCTCTCTCTGCCTGTGTGTACATTTGTGAAATGTCAGTATTTCCAATAACCTCAGTGTTTCCTTTTTATTGTCTTTATGTCAACAAGGCATCAGTGTAGATTACCTGGCATGTGATCACATGGCTGGTATTCAAATACTGTATGACTCTATAATCACGTGAGGAAACTGGGTCCCCTTTCACTAGTACACCTGAAGAGGAAAATAGTACATAATTCAGCTTATAATAGGACAAGTCATAAGGCAAAATGCCCTTCATAAGAATGGCAACATTTCTTGCATTAGAAGTTATTAAAAAATCTAAAGCTTTGAGACATACCGATTCTTTCCTCTAAGCAAAAAGTAAGGATCACTTATAGACATCAAAAAAGAAAATGTTTGCAATGTTTGCAACAAAGATCTACTTAGAGAACTTCATTAAGGTCATTGAAAAAAGTGTTGAGACATGATTTTTGTTATTATTTTGTTTTCTTCCCTTCAGCATTGAGAAATGTTTCTAAGTAATGAATTTCCTTCCCTTTGGTAGGATCAAAGGCACAGAGAGGAATGAAATTAGTTGTAAAAAACAGTAATAGCTAGAACAAGATCAACCAGCAAATACTACTGCTTTGCAGTATACAGTATTGTACAACTATGTAGCAATGCCTACTTATTTTTCTTGAGAAAAAGTGCAATAAACAATAGCATAGAAAACCAGCATTACTCAATTGACATGTGCACTGAGGCTTCCAGCCAAGAGAAGTTGTTTATGGATTGGAGTGCACACAATTATTGAATCTTGTAATGCATCAAAAATAAAAGAGCTGGAAGATCGATGTACCTTAACAGAAAGACTCAAAGCTCAGTCCTATTCATGCCAACAGACAGTTGACTATAAATATATTCTATCCCTGCACTTTACACATGTGGATTTCTCAGAAAATTAGGACCAAAAGGCTAATCTCCTAAAATAGGAGTCATTGTTTATTTAGGGTTTATGAGAATATAACACCAAATGTCATATTACATGAGCATTTAATCTGCTTAAACTACTTATTACTATTTCTGGCACTGAGAATTCTTGCCTGTGCTCAATTGTCAGCAAGTAACTAAGCAGGTATGAAAATAAAAATCTAGGAGTTTTACAGAGTATGCAGGTGAGTAGAATAGGAAAAGGATTCTTGTAATGTTCCCCCACTGATTTGTTGTGAGGAACAGATATTTAAGATCATCAGTTCTTCTTCCAAAAATATTGGTTTTCCTTTCTATAAAATGGAGTGATAATTGATAATCATAGCCTAGATTAGGAACAATAGGTAGTCTGTGGAATAATACATGAACTACAACTTCCCTGGCTCACAAGGAAGATTATATACTTGATCTGAGGTAGGGGTTCTGTAGGACAAATGTTGGGATAGAGTGGGGGGGGGCAAGGTGGAGGAGTTGAGAATAATTTGGTTCAGAGCTAGTGGATTTGCTTTAAATTCAACAGTAGGGGTTTTCTTTGTGCGGGTGACTGTGTGGTGTTATTCTTGAGGCAAAGCACACACTTGAAGGGTCTCATCAGGTTGCGCTGAGCCCTGATAGCTTCATCCCTTGCTTGAAGCTGTTACCAGTTTGACCACCGGTTTCTTTAGGAAATTATAGATGGCTGATTAGATACAAGAAGGATATGGGCTGACATTTTAATCCCTGTGCTTTTTTCTTTTTAAGATTTATTTATTTATTTATTCATACAGAACTGGGGTACAGGCCAGTGATGTGGAGGGTGATAGGATTCACCAGAGACAGAGCGGTGAGCAGAACAGGCAGATCAATGAAGTACACTGCTGAGGGGAGCAGTGGATGGGTCAGGAGAGGTCTGCCGCGCCACGTGGTCACCTCCGGGGCAGGCGGGGATCTAACTCATGCGGAAGTGGCTTTAGCTTCTTAGTGCTGTGCTT